TTTGAACACTTTTACTCGAATAGGTATTTTACGACACTGCTAACAAGTCAATTGAAACTTCAAGTGCCTAATGCATCGATTCAATTATAACTACTTACGAAAAAAGTGTCGTCAAAAGGTATTCGAGAGTAGAATTGCCAAGGAGCAACGTTGAATTAACCTTGTGACTTACGTACATGCAGGGCCGTATTACCGCTTAGGCTGTGTAGGCTAAAGCCTAGGGCGGCAAATTTTTTTTGGTGTGACCCAAAAACTACATTGAGATATTAGTAGAATATCAATACCTATGTAAATTAGGCGGTAAATTTATTTCAGCCTATGGGCGACAAAAACCTTAATCCGGCCCTGCGTACATGTTATGTTGGATTTTATTTTTCTTCGTTGCATTGCTATTGTAAGCTTGTTTGACGACCTATTTGAAACGACCCTAAACAGTAATATTAGTCAGTGTTCAATATTATTTAATTATGACGGATATTTTTGCGTGCGATTGCGTAACTTTAACATCTCTGAGACATTTTATTTAGATCTCAGATTAGAGATCGTATCCATTTTCCATAACATGGATTAAAATTAAATTAAGTTGCCATAAGAACACTCCCATAAGTAGGCCCATGCTAATTGACTATGTGATGTTATAACATTAACTTCCATGCGACGTTTTGACAAGCTTTTCAAATATAGTTATTTTCTTATTAAAAAGAATATAATACATTTGTGTGTATTTTTTTATTAATTGCCTTTCGTGTTGATTGCAGAACTGCAGTGTGTTGAACTTATGATAACCTTCAAACACTTCCGGATCAAATAACATTATCAGCTGCTATTAACTTTAACCTCGACAATACAATCATAATATTACTAATACAATATTCATATAGATAGCCGTTACTAACGCATAAATTTATATACACACCATACGGAACCTCGTATTACATTATCAAGCCTATGTTATTCATACATTCAGTGTCTTCATGCATTTTAAGTTATTTTTTAACACATTTTAAATTTGATTTACGACCTAATATTGCAGGGACTCTAAGTCAGTTCATACGATGTTTAATAATATTAAATAGCATAATTTTTTTCTTACCTATTTATAGGAATACCATGGAATACATATTTTTGGTCTTATTATTATTTGCCTTTCGTGCTGATTTTAGAATCAAATGTTACACTTATAAACACTTCTAAACATTTTCGGAATAACTTCCGGACTAAATATTATCAGATATTAATTCTTATGCTTCGACTATATTATAATATGTATTATTGTATAACTATATTACTATACGTACCTAACGTTTAATATACACACAGTATGGAAATATTTTGGTAGGCTTAGAGAACTTAATTTTTATTTTTGAGTCTGCTATCACTTTTTTAAGAAGTCAATAGTTTTCTTTGCTTTAATCTTCAACGTTGAGAGTGGTTTCTTGTAGAAAATTGGATCTATTTTTCGGGAGCGTCTGCAGAAGTCGAAAACCACATTATTTGTTTCAAAATAATTGGAAATAACCAATATTATACTGTGATATCAGTTTTTGACAAAATCAATTTAGTTTTTATAAAGGATAAGAATAAGGAATTATAATTTTTTTTTTAATCTGACATAATGCATAGGTACTTATCTAGGCATATACAAAAATACGTTATCATGTTAGTATTTATTTTTTTTATTTTGTATACTGTGTAAAACTAAAATGTTTTAAATTCTAGTGCAAAGCATTCAATTTAACAGTGATGGAAAAAAGCTCTTTTCAGTTAAACAAATTACAAATTAATTAGATGAATAAATTGGGAGAGGGGTCAGAGATAGTAAGCACCATGAGACATATATTGTAAATCTAGTAACTATGTCAATTTATTATATATTATTTGAAGTAGTTAATGTTCGGATTAACTAGGTCCTTAATATTTAAGCACATGGCTTTTATATTATAATATAAATATTTAAGTAATTATAATGAATATGTATTTATTCATACGAAAACGCCTAAGTGCTTAATAATTGCATTAATTGACTTACTGTTCATACAGGATGCAATTCAATAGAACAAAATGTATTACAGTAATGATTATACTTACGACCGGAGTAGTTGAAGGTTTCTAAAGTAAGTTACAGACATAAAAAATATCAATCGTATATAATGCATTATAATGTAAGAATATAGGTGTTAATATAATATTATAGTCTTCAACAGCGGTTCTCAACCTTATTTTTTCGAGTACCATTCAAGTGTATTATTATTTATTAATCTGTCGCGTACCACTTATGTCTACTTCCATGTGACCATGTTCAAACACAATTTAGAATGTTCATCTATTTCTTCTCCGTTCTATTTCTCCGTGCCCTTCCGCGTACCGATATGTTGTCTTCCGCGTATCACTAGTGGTAAACGTACCATAGTTTGAGAACCTCGCCTGGTCTACACAATTGGAATTAAGTTATACTATTTTATTGCTAGAAGTAGTTATTGTTCCATTGACAATGTATTTAATATTTGAGTGGAAGTTCCCACTTATATAATAATATTATAATTTATAATACCACTTTATTAGATTGTGATATTTATAATACAAGTATCTATTAGCAAATCACTTACGATTGGAGAACTCAATAGCTATTTTGCGTGGAAGACGATCCTAATCTAATTGTGTATACCAGTTGTATGAACAAAAATAAAATATGATGTTTCATGGTTCCTCTTTCTTGTATTTTGGTGTTGCCGATGAGTTTACAGGTACTGTTCATTGAATAAAACAGAATTTCACTAACACTAGGTAGATTTTTAAGTAATAAGTTAAACGCGTTGTTTAATTTTTTTCCGTGTCTAGTTTTCCTTTGTGTGCATATTAATATTTATTAATATGTAAACAATTATAGTACCTATAATAATACAAATAATATTTTAGATAATTTTATCTATTATTATACATCGATTTAAAATTTTACCCTATTGAAATTTAAATTACAATGATGATGATTAATACACTGGTATGGTATATTTGATGACTTATTTGATGAACTTCGATAAATCGACACTAATTATAGAGGATAATTAATAAAGCATGCTCGATTCCATTTTTTAATTAATGAATTTATGCAAATTCTAATTTTTGGATTTTTAAATATTCTTATTAAGACTGTATTTTTAAATTCCTGAGATTTTTTATACTACATTGGTATATTTACTTAAACAATGTTATATGGCAAAAACTACTATTTTCAAATGAGCATTCTACTTTTTACTCTAAATAATTCAGTGGGTAATTTTTTTGAAATCTTTGATGTACTTTATTCTCGAGTTGAACAAATAGTTTTTTATTAATTAAATTATTTAAACTGAGAATACTGGTTCTTAAAAATGCAAATACAAAAAAATAAAATATATACCAGGAACATCAAGGTATACTCACCTAACCTCAAGGTTCTCCCCTTAGCATTTTTAAATTTTAAACCACAATCGACAAACCACTCATTTTTATCACTATAATACGCTAAAAAAACCATTATCTTTGCTGACAACGCTGACATACATTCAAAAAACCCAACAATCTCAATGTAATCATCATAAAAATAACAAAACACATAACATTTTAAAATTAATGAAAATTATCAAAATATACGCATTATCTAGATTCTAGGCACCTACCACATTCTGACCATAATATTATACAGAAAACATATTTTTACTTGGTCTAACTTTCGTTTAATTATTATCTTATCAGGGATAGGAACCTACTTGTTTTATTATTATTTATTGAGTGTTTAATCATCCATGAAAATAATATAAATATAATAACAAATAATAATTAATAATAATTAATTACAATAATAATTATTATTAATATTAATATAATAATAACGTTTTCCGTAGCAATTCGTTTATCTATTAGGTTATATCTATAAATATATAACATAAATTGGCACTCAAAAATTGAATTTATTCAATTGTTCTTTTGATTTGGAACTAAAGACAACTCCCAAATCATTTTTGGACATCCATTCGAATAAAATTTTCTCATTTTCGAAATTCTTATCATAATATGAATATTATTCTTATGCCGCGCATATAGCCGAATGCTCGAATGATTTCAATGGTAGATGGATAACGGAGTAATCCTCCATTTGTTATTATGTATTTTGTAAATTATAGCAGGGACTATTATCTTAATGATGTTAACCGTAACATTGAATTTTAACACTAAGAATTCAAAAAATATTACGTAAATGTGTGGGTACATGGCTATATAAATAACTAAATGATAATATTTAATAAAATTCCTAGTTTAATATAGATTCAACTAATAGAAAACATAGAAAACATAAAGATATAGCTACTAGCCCAGTTGGTAATAAGAATCAACTATTATTATTAATGTAATTTATTGTAATTATTTAGTTGTAATTGATTTGGTTGAAATAAATAAATAAAATAAATAAGATTATCGATATGTTATTATAATTAAATTATTTTTCTATAGTATATTAATAAGGAGAAGGGTGCAAAATGTATAGTTGATTTATTAATAATAGTAATAACTATTTTTATTATATAAACAAAATATTTACATGCAAGTTTAATCTCAAAGTCTTAAAGAACCTTTTTAACTCATTATTTTTCTTCAAATAATAACTGTAAAATAATTGTTTTCCCTAGAAAAGTCTAGTTGTTGCATAGATTCCTGCATCACCTCTGTCGTGATCAATGAACGCAGAGGCGTGACAAAAAATAATATGTGTAGCTCGTGCGGGAAGGCAGTTCTTTCAGTATGGGGAGAGCAATTTAGACCTCGCATGGGGCACAAGTCGCCCTCGGACTGAAATAGCTCACTTTCCGCCCTTCACACATAATGTGTTTTTTTATTTCAGACAAAAAAAAAATAATATTCATAGACTTTTGATGTAAATTATGAATTTTAAATGTTTCAATACAATTTTTTTTTTTGAAAAACGTTAATAAAACATTAAAATAATAGTTAAAGTACAATTTATTTCAAGGATGTTTCTTAGTTTCTATAATGAAAACTTGGCAGCCGTATATTTCATTTTTTCGAGTGTAATACACATAGAATTTGAATGTTCCATAAAAAAATGTTTTTGGCAGATTCGAGTCCTTAAAAATTGATGTATCAATCCCTGGATATGTGTAAATACCCTGAAAGTATAACAATGTATGGAAAGTAAAAAAACAAATTGTATTATTATTCCTTGTATAGAATGGTTTAATACATTTTTTTAAAAATATAATTAATATATTATATAAAATTACACCATATTTTATATAAATTACATTATATTGTTAATGTAAATCTAAATCACACCATCTTGTATTTCTGTAACATGGTCATTGGTCACTTACATAATATAAAGATGACCAAATGCATTCTGCATGTGATTACTGCATCATAGTATTGCCTTAAAAAGCATTGAAAATGTAAGCATAGAACTTGTATTGTTAGAAGACATGTTATATTTCATACTTAGATACTATATGTTTTAGTTATAGTAAAATATTAAATATTTTAATATTACTAGTCGTGTTATTTATTTTTTTTTTGTCGATAAATACTATAAATAATCTTTTGACAAATTTAAATATTAAGAATTAAGTAATATTCATGAATACGGTAATCGATGATGAATCTATTATAATTTTAAAGTGAATTCAATAGCTTGTATGACGTCAAGCAATGGTGTAAATTATTCAACAAGTTAAATACATTGTTTATTTGCTAACAATATATTATTCTTATGGTTTATTCTTAATGCTGTATATAAATTGTATATAAATTGCTATAAATTTTGCACCTATCCTTGCCAAACCGATCAAATTTGTATGTATTATTATTTATTAATAATAACTAAATATAATATTATAAAGTTAAAAAATTATGTTTTTACCGGAAGTATAGGACATTTGGTATTTTTACTACCAGACCCATTCATATACACTGTCCAAACGCTTCCCAATAATCGTTTTATTGATGTGCAAGCATTTGGTATTTTATGCGATAGTACATTTTCCTTCCAATTTCCAAGTGAATCTTTGACAGCCAATTTTATTTCCAACTGCAAAAAAAGTTTCATCAGTTGATAGATCACGATTCCACGTTTTTAAGAACAAACATAATATTTTATATTGAAATAATAATAATAATAATGGGTGGCGAGGATAAAAAACAAAAAAATAGCATATATACGAAAAAATAGGCATTTTATTGTAATTGCTTGTAGAGTTAAAGGTAACTATTTAGTATTTTAGTGTGTAAAAAAATCGTTTTTAGTAGATCTCAAGCCCCTCAAGACATTATTGTTCAGCCTACATCTATGCAGTTAGGTTAATGTTTTATATTTGTGAATTGTTATTATACGCTATCATCTGTATCTTGCGTGTTTAACTACTATAATATCACATACAAAATATTCTAACCCGTGCTTTCCTACCCTTCACATAATTCTATAACCTAAGTATACCAAATATATTACACATAATAATTATGGTCACACCAGATGTCCACATATTTTACTTGTAGATAAAGATTAATCGGCTTGTACTTATGTGATGTGAGTTATTGGTAGTGAGCATCATATGAGTACCCTTACAATATCATAACTGGCAATATTAGTTTATTTGTTTTGGTATTTATACTATTTTTTTATTAATCTAAAGCCCGAAACTATGGCCATTAGCTGTTTGTGGGAGGAAATGGTTGGTTTGAAACACGTTTTGTATGCTTTGCTTTTAAAAATCCCTGTGGTCACCCATCCGGGAGCTAGCAACGCTGGCCGGTGTGTACACTCAGTGAGCCTTCACCAATAGCCACTTTATGTTATAGTTGTATGATTCGCATATTATTTTATTACCGCAGTGTATACTTATTATAATAATATGTAATTTAATGAAAAAATCGAATTTTTTATATTTTATGTTATAACAATATTCTTTTTTATTTTTCCGTTTCTTTATTTTTTTTTTAAACCCGAATTTGACTACCCTCTGATTACAGAAACGGTGATAAAAAAAATAAGTGTTTAATATACTAGTATGTCGAGTGTCTACTATCGACCCAAAAGATACAGTAAAATAGTACGCAGAATAACTTGATTTTTTTATTAATTAAATAATGCTATGCTGGTAAAATATTACAATAACCGTAAAATAGTTAATACCATATTATACTATCATTCATTACTATGAAATTCGTTTCAGACAGCCAATAATTATATTGTACGTAGTTTTAAGCATACCAAATACACATTGACTCAATTGTATCAACTTACGAATAATGTGTCGTCAAGAGGTGCTTCGAGGGTTGAATTTCCAAGCAACCATGTTGTATTGGCCCTGTGACTTATATACGTATAATGCTGGATTGTATTGTTCTTCGTAGGATTGCAATTATAAACTTGTCTGATGACTAATTGGTAAGGACCCTAAACACAAATACAAAAATACGGGCATATTATGATCTTTAATATTATTTAATTACGACCCATAGTAGTTATTTTCTTATTAAAAGAAATACATATTTGTACACATGTTTTATTATTATTTGCCTCACATTCCGACATCACACTGCAACTGAATGTCGCATTATATAAATCGTCAAATGCAACCGGAAAAACATTCCGCAAACTTCCGGATCAAATATCGTCAGCTATTAACACTTACTTTGACTCTATTATAATATTAATTATTATCGTTGTATTAGTAACCTTTACCAACGCATAAGTCAGTGCACACCGTATGGAACCTTGTACCTATTAAATTGTCATGTTCTTTGTTATTCAAATAAAACATATTTTATACATGGTTGACTGCAAAAGAATTTTCAAATTTTAGTGGTTTGGACTACTTTTATTTATTTATCTTGTGTCTGTTATCACTTTTGGGATTTGCCAATTAAAATCCAGAATAAATTTCTTCTAGCTTTAACCTTACATTTTGAAGGTGGTTTCTAGCAGCAAACTAGATATTAATAAAATTAGCTTGCAATATCAGTTTTGCCAAAGTCGATTTTGTTTTTTTTACTGGAATTAAAAAATCAATAACTTTTGAAGCATGAATATTTCGAGAAATATTTATTTTGACATTTACTTTACTTGATAAAGTGTTCTATATTTTTTGTAAATTAAATAGAACAATATGTCTTACAGTACTTTCAAATCTAGTAGTTGAAGTATCAAAAATTAATAATCGACATAAAAAACAATCATCATAAAATGCGTTTTAATAAAAAAAAACATAAATAATATTTAATATAGTCTAAAAAAGTTGAGTTTAAATTTGGTGACTTTATTGTTTGAGTTATTTATTTTTCCATTTCCCAGATACTTAATATTTGAGGGGAAGTAATTCGTTCCCTCTTATATGATATTTATACCACGTTTAATTAAATGTTGTTAGATATAATAACATTATTTTAGCAATTAATTTAAGATTAGATAAATCAAAAGCCGTCTTCAGTCACCAGACGACTCTGATAACTATTGTGAATATTAGTTTTATAAACATAACAACTATATACAAGGCATACGATAAGCTTTTATTACTGCAATTTTGAATGGGACTTTAATAAATATGTTGTAATAAATATTGTATTAAAATATGGATGTTTATTGGATTTTAAAATGAACTATACATTTTTCTTGTCTATTCACTTACGACTGGAGAACTCAATAGCTGTTTTGAAATTGTAGACGATCCCAATCTAGTTGTGTGTAACAGTTGTATAAACAAAATTAAAATATTATGTTTCATGGTCTCCTTTTCTTGCTTTTCGCTGGTGCTGATGATTATACGAACAGGTACTATTCAACTAGTAAAAACCAGTTTCACAAACACTAACTATAGATAGATTTTCGAGTATAAAATTGAAAACATTGTTTGCTGTGTTTTGTTTTCCATTGTTTGCATTGTAATATTTATTAATACATAATAAACTCATTTTTTTTGGAATTCGTTTTATCTATAACTATTCATCAATATTACACTGTTACAATACTACAATGGTGTTGATTAATTCACTGATAGATGGACATATGGTACATTGGCCTAAATATGGGGGGGGGGGGCTAAGCGGGTACCACACGATTGCGTACGATGTATCTTTTTGAGAACACGATTGCGTACGTTAATACGATTGCGTTAGGTTAGGTCGATCAATAAGTTGATTAATAAGTCAATCTTCAAAGGTGAAGTATATTTTTAGTAGATCGTGACCAAAAAAAGTTTGGCCAGCCCTGTTCTATAAGTTCAAAGCAAATGGCAACAGTGAAGTTCAAAGTTGCAGATAAAAATCGTACGCAATCGTGAACATTTAATGTTCACGATTGCGTATGTCGATAAATACCGTACGCAATCGTGTTTTACCGGGCTAAGCCCCCTAACTCTTATTTTAGTTACCTCCCTGTCATAATTTCTATATTCCTAGCTACATTTATAAATTTTAATAAACATATGGGAACATTTTTTTTGAACTATTTGGAAACTACTTGGAAACATTATTATTTATTACGATTTATTTATTATATACCAGCATATACTACCACATCATTAATGATAATTTATTTTCAGATGTAATCGGCTGTTGCACTCGATTGTATGGATCAGAAATATATATTTTTTCACCAGAAACAAAACAAAATTCAACTGTTTTTAATTTAATCTAAAAAAATGTTCAATTTTTTTGTCATTGACTAAATGTCCTTTGATTAATTTTGCAAAAAATCCTTTCTGTTCTCTCATTAAAAACATAGGTTTTGTGGTTTTTCTTTTTTTTTTCAGCATTAAAGATTTTATCATATTATCTCCTTCTTGGTCATCTTCAAGTTATAACATCAACATATTATTAATATTTACAACAGCTTGTTGTTTATTCATATTTGAACAGTAAAGGTACTGAAAACGTGCACATTCATTGAAAACTCAAGAACTACTGTTGCATGTTTGTACATCACTTATACATCAAATTTAAAATTTAGTTATCTAAATATCAAAACATAAATATGTTATAGTGATCCTTAAGTATCGTTAAGTTTCACTAGATGGTATTGAACGAAAATATTGTACACGAAATAGTATTAAATTATTTTTAGAAAGCAATTAGATTGGTAATAATATACAATTATCTAACGATACACTATTTTCAGTATTTTTATCTAATTAAGTCAATTAAGGTTTTTAAAATTTAAATTTTGATCTTAGAGATGAATGTATTGATTTTACAATGATGTGTGTTTTTGTGTGGCTTATAAGTCTTTACAAACGTCTAGTGTCCACTAGGGGCCCTAAGGTTGTAGCTACATACTTTATCGTAGTTAAATAGTACTACTTATTTAATTATATAATATATTCATACAAACTAAATTACGTACTATATTCTACCAGTTATTATTTTTTTTTTAGTGTACCATCTTCTCTCAAAGACACAGATTATATATTCTGAAATACTATGGTAATATATATTTAGTGACTTTATTGATAAATTGTATACATTGACGTCATAACTATACAGGATAATTGTAATTCACTGAGCACGGTGCACGCTCATCTCTTTTATCATTTAATAATGTATTTATTTTTATTCAAATTCTAACTTTATAGTTATTAAAATATATATACTATATAGGTATATAAGAACTAGGAAGGGTCCAGTGACGATACAAACTTCTGTTTTTTCAAAAAGTTTATTCTAAATAATTCAATGAATCATTGTTTTTTAAATGTTTTATAATGTATTAAATTTTTAACTCAAAATAATTTGAACATAGATTTTTCAGTTATTAAATACGGAATGCAGTGCTAAGAAAACTACTAGGCTTTTTTACTAACTTAATATGACTGAAAAAATGGTGGACAAAGATTTTGTATCCAATATAACTGGCGGCGTAAAAATAAAAAAATATATATTTGGAGATAAAATAATTATCGAGTTGGTAACGGCCAATAAAAACATTCAAAAAATGAAATACCAAATCTTATATGTATACAAAAATGTATTTAATGAATTGATACATACCTAGTTCTAACATCAGTATCCAGATCTAAACTTATGCATCTAAAACAGAAGTTTGCAAAGGAATATTGTATTTGTACTTTAATTTCGTTACTATTCTAAAGCACGATTTTATGGTTTTGCATAAAAATTGGTATAGATAGGTTTTAATCAAATTTTTTTCAGATGATCACCATAATATACGGTTGTAGACTATTAACCATATTACGTATAACTATTTTAGAAGTGAATCATAAAAATACTTAATATTCTTAAGAAAAAAGGTAAAATTACGTTTTTTTCAGATGAGAAATTTAGATATTTAATAAACCATAAAAATGTTAAAAAAAAATCAAGACACTCAAGGGCGCTTAAATTCTAAAATGTAAACTTGACAGCCGAAGTTTTCATTTTTTCGTGAATATTGCGCATGAAATTTGTACGTTCCATAAAAAAACGCCTTTGGCATATTGGATTGCTCAAAAATTGACGGATCCAAACCATTAGCTATATAAATACCCTTAAAGTATAAAAACGATTAACTAAAGTAAGCAAAGAAAATAATTGTATTAATAGTCATTAATCGATTGTGTACATGTATTATTATTTAACTGTCTATAATCAATTTAAAATTTAAAATTATTAATACAATTTTCTTCATGTTGAAGATAATTGAATGATGTGTATGTTTATAATTATACCTATAATTATGTAAATGTAATAAAATATTATGATGTGTTGTAACTTAGGTTTTTACCGGAAGTACAGGACAATTTGCACTTTTAAGTCCAAGACCATGAATGAATGAAGTCGCTGCGTTTCCTACTAATTTTTTTAATGATGAGCAAGCATTCGATACTTTATGCATGTACACGTTTTCCTTCCAATTTCCAAACGAATCTTTGGGAGCCATATACATTTCCAACTACATAAAAATGTTAAAGATTAGTGTATCACTCGGGGACGAGGTGACCGAGTGGTCTGACTCTTCCGCTGCGACGCAGCCGGTCGCGGTTCGATCCTCGGCCACCGGGCGGCATTTTTCTCCGGACAAGTGTGACAGTTCGATCGTGGACCGACCCAACAAAACTGTTGAATCGAACTGCCCCCGTGGCCGACCGCCGCTTTTTAGCAAGGTCGCCAACCACGAGCCGAGACCTGGATAGGTCGGAGCACCGTGGATTTGATTATTCACAATAATAAATGCATACACCAGGAAGAGTTAATAACGAGGGTAATACTAATAATAATAATAATAACTCAAGACACGGAAGTTATGTGCAAAAAATGATATATTGGAAGTTGGTGCCGAGAAAGCTCAACAGGGCGTAAAACTCGGACATAATAAAAATAGCTTACACAACGAGCAAATGACGAGGCACAACAGATACGTATAGTATAATAATAAAAATGTGTTTAAACAACCATGCCTAGACCCCAATGGCTCCACTGGACGGTTACCGGTCAACATGGCGAAATATAATATGTACAACGATAATAAATTACAATAATAAATAAAATGTTTACCAGCCAGATATGTACAGATTTTATGTTACCAGTACACACATACGGTATCGCCCGTCTTTCCGCCGGCATTGCCGGGGAGGATTTCAGCTGTCGCTACTCCATCGTCCACAAATAAGGCAGCTTCATCAAAACAAAAAAA